GTATTCCTTTTTTGGGCTACCTGTGTTAATGCCGAGTCTTTCTTGAAGAGTTGGTGCCACAGGCAGCCCAAAGATGAAAAACCATAAGCTTTAAACGGTAGTTTTACTCACAGTTGATTTGAGTCTATCAGAAGTCCATCTTTGCATTAAATCAGCGATGTTGACAATCACGGCCCCCTTCACAGGAGTCACTGGTATGTATTTCCCTTCAACATTTTGAACCTGTGTGTAAAAAATAATACCTTAAGATGTCTTTTAAACAATAATTTTTATGATGTTAAGAATGCTGTGCACAAACAATTAGTTCTAATTAACAGCTGCTACAAATCCTATTGTTTCAGTTGGTAAAAATGTTCAGATGTTTCCCACAATGTTTGCCCTGTACATTACCAACCCTCAAATGACTTTTGTAATCATAAAGCATCCTATTCGATTGGTTCATAACTAATACTATGATACAATTCAAGTGTTGCCAATTTTAGTAAACAAAAAATGAAAGCCATTTACAAAATTGACAATGCCTGTCATGGTCCCTAGAGTGTGTGCTAGTGTGCAGCATTGAACATTGCACTTTACATACATTATTATTTGATTGGTTTGTATTTATTAAGATGTAATGGGTAGCATGGGTGGCGTTCACGGTTAACGCGTCGTCTTTCACCACTGTGAGTCCAACGGGTTGGGTCGCTGGTTGGAGCCCGGTGGTCGCCACATGTGACTTGAGTTCGTTTGATGTGTTGTTCTCTCCTATGCTACGAGGATTTTCTCCAGGTTCTCCGGTTTCCGTCCTCCGTAAAAATCAACATGTGAGTTGAGTRTTGTATGTTGTAAATATAGAATGTAGTGGTAGTGCGTGTGGAGGGAACCTCACGGAAGAGCCCCGTGGGGAGTGGTGGTCGTAAAATATTATTATTATGTAAAGTGTTGCCATGGCAACTTACCTCCAAGCCTCCACATTCATCCTGAAACAAAATTGAGACCCCTCCATAGTCGGTATGCTCCCCACAGCGAATCTGCTCAGGCTTGACGTCAATGTCGCCTTTTAATTTAGGGTAAAAGTTAAGTCTGAGTGCCGTCATTCCCTTCTGGGTTCCCATGTGTTGGTATTGAGATGTAAATGTGTCGGCATCCTGAACATAATAACAGAACATACACACATACATACAGTTAATACAAAATTAATTATTGTTGAATAATCATTGCAAACAAAAATATATATGGCCCCTACATAAGAATTGCTGACTCACCCCTATTTGAACCATCCTCCCTCCCCCCCCCCCCCCCCCCCCCCCTCTCTCTAAAAAGATGATAACTCCCTAACATTATTTAACATAATAATGTTACAGAATGTAATTTAGGCCTAGGGCAAACGTCGAACTTTCCATGCACCGCACTCATTAAAAACAATGGATATCAGGTGATAATGAGGCGGTATTCTTTGATGTAATTAAGTTCGGTGCATGGAAAGTTCGACGTTTGCCCTAGGCCTATCTAAGTGTTTATTATTTCTTTGGTAGTTGTGATGTTCTATTATGTATTTTTCTTACCATGCCTAATCCTAATGCAATAGCAGATAATATCCTCAGACCCAGGATTTCAACCTTTTCATACATCCCTTTGATCGTAGGCTTGAATTCTGGTACCTCATCATCAGGCCATTTCTACGACAAAATATCAAGAAAATAGTTGGGAAAAAACATTTTCCTTTAAGTATTCCTAACATGCAGGCACTATTGAAGATGATGAAGATGAAGTGATTGATTACCATTGTACCCAGTTGGATAAATGGCAAAGGAAGGGCACAGCTAACTCACAGATAGAACCCTGAAACAACCTCTGGGCTGATCTAAGTCAGGCCACAGCTAACTCACAGATACAACCCTGAAACAACCTCTGGGCTGATCTAAGTCAGGGCACAGCTAACTCACAGATAGAACCCTGAAACAACCTCTGGGTTGATCTAAGTCAGGGCATGGCTAACTCACAGATTGAACCCTGAAACAACCTCTGGGCTGATCTAAGTCAGGGCACAGCTAACTCACAGATAGAACCCTGAAACAAGGCTAACTTGCAGGTAGAAAACCAGAGAACTAGGAGAAACGCTTGAATCAAGGGAGAAACCTAAAATTTTACTGTTAATCAAATAATATGGACCAACAGGGCTGTCAACCCCCAAGATATTCAAATCTGGAGAATTGATATGGAAGGGACATGATGTCACAGCGGGAAAAAGCTCACAAAAAGACGTCACTTACTTTGTAACATTTGATGTGATTGGTTTATTTCTGACCAATCAGATTATCGCTTATATTACAATGGCCTGCTTGCAAGAACAGTTTATGAGGAATGTTTCGATTTTGTTAGCAATGTAAAATAACACAAACAACACAAAATAATTGGAATTTTATGGTTGTGAAAGTCGAGTCTCACAAGAAATGGTCAGCTTTGGCGATTATCCAGGAGATTTGAGACTCTAATCTGGAGACAGGGAAATACGGTCCAAAATCTGGAGACTCCTGGTTTATCTGGGAGAGTTGACAGCCCTGGACCAAGTCCAGAAATATTCCACCCTTTATATCCAACAAGGTTCTTTATAAATTTCAGATGATATAATGTGATTAAATTTCAATATTGGCCAAAAAAAAACGTTTTTCAAATGACTTACAAAAGTGTCTTCATAAATGTGTCCAATGTCAAATGACTCCTTTAAGTCAGCTGGACGATCAGGGTTATTGCTGAAAATCAAAGATTTCCTATGCCTAAGTATAACAAAAGGAAATGCAATAGCTGTCAAGCATAATGATGTTTTGTTCTTCACGTGTACCCTTCCTTCTAAATTCTTTCCAGTGGTGTAGTCTCAGAGTTGGAGGAGTAGGCACACATGTTTTGGAGCAAACATTCCTGCCAAATAATCAAGAAGCCCAACACAATAGGAAAAAGGTTTTTGTCAAACTTCTCCTCCCCTCCCCCTCCCCCACCAGAAATCACCAGAAATTCCAATTTTCTTCCATACAAACTCTGTAATTTTGTTCTTTCTCTGTCCCCCTACCCCTCAGAATTTACAAATTCCTCTGTGGGTGGTGGGGGGTATGGATAATTTCTGGAACTACACAATGCTCTTTGTGGGTGAGGCATGAATATACTCATTTCAATAAGGTCTGTCACCTGGAAAGCTTAGAGTGGCAAAGATTGTGGGTAGATAAATTTTACGTTTCGACCACTTGATAACTATCAATGGACATGAGGTCTCAAAATTACCAGTTACATTCTTACCTCTATTGGTCATCCTAGATCACACTGCAGTCTGTATCAAAGATTTTTCGTTTGACATGAAAATTTTTTCCCATGATCATCAGCGGTCTCAACTTGGAAGGATTTTGGTGACTAACTTTATTGAAATAAATATATATTATAAGAAACAACACAATTGTTCCAACCTTTCTTTTTCCAGCTTATCCCATCCATTCTGGAGCACATCATCCCACTTGGAATATTTAAGCTTAGAGGCTTTATCAGCATTGAAAAACTTGTCCATGACATCAAAGACAGTATCAATCTATAATAAGCAATAACTGGTGAGTGAATAGTAAAAAGGCTTGTACTTGCAATCAAGGGGTGGTGTTCTTCAAGGGTCTATATTTCAACATCTCACCTCTGGGGTCTATAACATCTCACCTCTGGGGTCTACAACATCTCACCTCTGGGGTCTACAACATCTCACCTCT